AGTGAAAATTTTGATTAATAAGTAGTGAAAATTTTGATTAACAAGCAGTAAAATATGTGATAGTTTTATTTGGTGGGGACTCTGAATACTCACGGGACTTATTATTCCTCGCAGAGATGGGGACGGAGGCAATTTTTGACCCTCCACCAAAAATCCCGGTGGAGATCTCCGTATCCGCCATTGGCGGGAATGGGGAGGGGGTCCCCGCCCCCGTGGGGACTCGTTGCCATCCCTAGATGATCTAACCACTGAAGTGATAACAAGTCTTTAGAATAATCTACTTGGTTCTACAAAGATAATTGAGAACGTAGGGCAAGAAAGGTGTTTGTAGACAGAGGGAGAGTATGGTATTAATTATATGTTATTGCGTATTTAGGAAGTTTAGACTTTATGAAGTTTGGTCGTAGAAATGCAATGGATACCAATCGGTTTTGAAGAAGTTATTTCCTTACTGGTGATCTTGGCATTTTCTGGTAGTTATGTTGCCACAAATTTGAGGGTCTGATTGTCAAGAATGGCGGGGATTGCGGTATTTTCCTTGGCAAATCTACCTAACTTCATGACAAGTGTTTTCTTCTAATCTCGTTTGAAACTTTTGAGACCTATTTGGTATCACCTTGATTTTTGACTTTTGGATATTTGTGCCTTCCATTTGGTTTTCTTTTTCTTCTTCTTTGTTCTTAACTTCAAACAGTACCTTTTCCTTTGTTTTTATTTCATAAGATAAAAAGCAGTGGACAATTATTTTTGTTTTGATTGTTGGAAAAAAAAAATTAATAATATCTTATCCGTACTATTATCTATTATATCTCTCGCTTTTTCACGTATCTTTTTCATTTTCTATATCTGATGTGTTGTTTTATATTTATTGTATTTGGTTTTTTCTTATATATTTACTGATTTCAGAATATTTTAGTTACAGATTTTTTTCGACCTGTACTTATTTGAAATGGTATGTAGCATATACTATAGATATAGCTTTATAATGGAAATAATTTGATTTTTAAGAATTTTTTTTTGACAATTGTTTTTCAATAATTATATTATGTAAATAATTAAACAATTGTGAAATATGTATTGAATATCATTAAATAAATGTAAATATGTAGAATAAAATACAGATTAAATAGTGGTCATATTTTCATGTAACATGCTTGTTTATGATAATCTTTTATAACTGTCTTACGTTCTTTTGTAACGTTTTTGGAACATAATTCAATTAAGTTCTCATAGCATTCATTATAAATCTTTTCTTTTCAAAGTTAAAAAAAATGTAAAGAAACAACAACATCAGTTTTAAAATTTTCAATTTTTACTTTTGATTTTATTTTGAAAATTTTATTTATTATTATTATTATTATTATTATTATTTATTGAATTTCGTTATTGATACCAAGTGATTTATAGTATAACGAAAGTTTCGAATGAGGTGATGAAAAAATATACATTTCATGGGGTTTGAGCTGGGCATGCAAAGGAGAATATTGTAAGCGATGCTAACAATCTTGACTAGACCTTTTTGTGGCAACTTGACCAAGCAGGGTATTCCCACGGTTGCTATGGGAGATACCTTGTGAAATGGGTTCACATGTCTGTTGGACTTATTTTGTCCATTGTATTTTTAAACCAAATTTCATCTAGTCTCAAGCTTACTAATGTGTGATAGAGAGAATATCAAACATGCTTGCACGATATACAAACCTTCTTTCACCGTTAAAGTCTCTAATCTAAGTGGAAATTAGTTGATTGTTCTGTAGAATTGAGTACTTGATAGGGGGGGGGGGGGTTATATCATGATCTTTTTTTTAATTGGATTATAAATTTTAGTTTAGTTAATATATCCTTTTTGACGAAAACTTTAATTGCACATATATATATATATACACAATTTCTTTTTACAGGTTTTCAGATTAGAGACATCAGGTTTAGAAAAAAGTGGGAAAGAAAAATTCAGCATTATTTTCATTTGTATATCCTTTTTGTCTTCTATCATTATCACCCTCAATTGTATATGAGGGTTGAAATGTAAAAAAATAAAAATAAAATGCTATACAACCATTTCTTTTCCACTGCTGCTGCGATTTTTATTTTTGGTTAGAGTTTAATATTTTATAATCTAAATTAAAATGAATTGCTACACACTAGTCATTAAATAAAAGGAATAGCACTCATTATTAGGAAGCCTTTATCATTCCAATAGTTAATTTTTATCCATTTATTTTCTTTTACTATGTAAATTTTTTTTTTTTTTCTGAACAATCTACAATTTGAGGAGAGGAATATTTCCCAGAGCGTTAGTGGAGATCAAAATCTCAACTAAAGACTCGAAAACAAACCACTAGACTCGAGAGTCTAATTTTACCATGTAAATTTTTTAAACTACGTAGAAGTAAAAATTTTTATCCCTAGAAAGTAACTTCAATATAGAAGTGCATTTTCCATGAAAAAAATGTATATATTGAAGTGCATCTACAAACTGTCACTTCAGCATTTAAGCAACAGGTGAACTCGCTGAATGGCAGGAAGCATAAAAGATGGAACCATCTATGATCTATCCCCCTAGCATTCACCATTTTCATACACAACTAAAAAACAAATGGCACATGCTGTAAAAATACTATATATATACATATATATATGTATATATATTTTGAACAGGGCAATTGGGGTAGAGGAGAAATATCATACATGGGACTTGAACCCACAACCTACAAGTAGTGATCCACACTTAACTAAAGGTCTCAGCTACTAGGCCAGAGAGTAGGGACCGTAAAAATACCATGTTATGTCAGATAAAAATATCCAAGGAAACAACATCAAAGTAAATTGCTCAGTAGCCATCCAGCAATCAGAGACTGGATATCTGGATTATTGATAGAAAGCACAATTTGAGATTCTTAAAAGGTCATATGAATCAGGAAGTATATCACTTCCACTTCTTGAATTTCCCTCCAAACATTCCATGCTTTCCATGCTTGAATTTCCCACCATGCTTGAACTTCCCATGGTGTGCAAAACCACCATGCCCCATGTGGGAAGCACCATGCCCCATGTGGGAAGCACCTTGCGCCAAGTGGTGAGCCCCATAAGCAGCTGCAGCAGCGGCAGCACCCCCAGCAATCAGCGCCCCAACACCACCATGCCCTACAAATGAAGTTTTAAAGAATCAGCAACTTCAAAGAACAAGCAAACTCCCTTTAGACAATAATAGTTCCAAGCATCATAAGTCAGGCTCAACTCATTGTCATGTTAAAGTATTTAACATTCCTAAGGAAACTGCCACATGACACCTAAATCATCAGCTTGCAAGTTTTCACAGCATCAACCATTATCACACTTGTTACTCACCAAATAAACAACTGACACAATTAGAATAGTATACACCAACGTGCATTGCATTACCCCAACAGATGATGGTCGGCCAACTTATCCTTGCTTGGTATATAAATTATAAGATTAATTGCACTGTGTTTGAAATTTTCTGATAGACCAATATACATAATACTGAAACAACATCTAGAAACATACCTGAATGAGATGCGGGTGGGTAACCAGCAGGGGGGTATGCACCAGGAGGATAGCCTTGCGGTGGGTAGCCTTGTGGTGGGTAGCCTTGCGGTGGGTAGCCTTGCGGTGGGTAGCCTTGCGGTGCTGCATACCCGTAAGGTGGATAACCTTGAGGAGGTGGGGGGTATCCTCCAGGAGGGGGAGGGTACGCCCCAGGAGGGGGAGGGTACGCCCCAGGAGGATAAGCACCCTGAGGATATCCTCCATGACCTAGGTGTGAAAAAAGACCTTTCTCATCATGCCCATGCTTGTCCTTGTCCATATTTTTTCAACCAAGATACAACCCTGCACATACACATAAAACATTCATATTAAATTGTTAAACATTCATACCCACAGTAAGCAGATGAATACAAATAAATTATACAACAATATGCTCATATTAGCCTAACATGCATTTCTAGAGTGCCATAGGGTGTACTAGTTTTAACAAGCAGAAGCAGGTAGCGATTAACCTAAAGGATTCATATTTCAATACATGAAATTCAAAAGAGGTAGATATTATTAGACAAACATCATACAAGAAATTACTCGCAAAAAGAAGAACCAGGATTTAATTCTAATCGAAAGAAACCAACTTGCAAGATTAATTCTAATTTTCCCATACTAAATTAAGCTAAAATTTCGCTAACAACATATCCAATTCGGCAGCACTGTAATAATGAACAATTCATGGTTCAAACATAAATATCAAAGCAAATTAGACTGTTGAGAACATAAAACAAATCCGAAACATCACAAACAATTGAGATCATCGATTGTAATTTCTAACAAAAAAAAAAAAAAGAAGAAAGAAATTGAAGGAACAGAATCCCTAAATCAGAGCGCATAAACAGCATTGAGATGATGAGGTTGAAGAATCTCCTCAGATCCAAAGAAAAATGGAAACATGGCAGAAAAAAAGGTTAGAGATATTTACCTAAATTCCGATTGCAAAGCGAAGAATACAAGAGAAGCGTAAGACCAAGAGAAGAATAAATAGATGATATGACAATAGCAGATAACCGATAAGGACCTTTCCGCGTTGAATTGACGCGCAAACGACGCGTAATAT